GTGTGCCGAGCGGGCACTAGTCTCGGCCCGATGGCGATCCCGGCAGGGGTTACCGAACCCCATCCCACAAACACCCAAGAAACAGCGACAATTTTCAGCGACTATGACTTTCGCCCAAGGATCCCAGCAGCAAGAAAACGCCGCAGGCGCGGCCTCGACGGAGAGGAAAATGAGCCGATCGCGAACCCTGAATTTGCGACCGGCGGAGAAAGCAACGGGCGGGTGACGAACCAAGACGTCCGACAGTATTTCAACAGCTTCAATGAGGCACTCAAACACCAGACTGAAATAATTGAGACAGTGAGGGCGGAGGTCCAAGAACTGAAAGCTGAACAACAGCTCCTGCGAACCCACAATAAGGAACTGCAGGAAGAAATCGAAGCCCTACGGGCCAAACTGGAGGCACAACCGCTGAACGCCCCCGTGAACAGATCCTGGGCGGAAGTGGCTGCTGGCAACCCTCAGCCAAACCCAGCGAGAACCGTCCCGCGCCCCAGGAAGGAACCCAACTGTGTCCGAATTAGTACCGCACCAACCCTCGATCAAGATGTTGACAATGACCGATTCTCAAGAGCCCTTCCTACTGAAGCAGCGAACACGCACATCAGGACCGCCCTGCTGAACGCAGAGACCACCAAAGAAGTGCAAGTCGCGGGCATTGGTACTACCAAAACGGGGTATGTCATCCGATTCCGGGACACCCAGTCTGCTGAGACAGCCCGGAACAGCACCGAGTGGCTGGAGGAGTTGGGAAACAACACCAAAGTAGTGAAGCCCCGGTTTGGGATCGTGGTTCACCGAGTCCCAACTGAGGACTTTGAACTAGAAGGAAACAAGAAACAGGGAATCGAGAAGATTATGGCTGAGAATGACCTCCATGACAAGAAATTCCGGGTCGAAGATATTGCATGGTTGAAGAAGAGGGACATGCCTTTAGGGAAATCAGCCTCGATGGGGGTCTGGTTGGACTCACCGGAGGCAGCAGAATGGATTATAGATAACGGAATATTAGTGGGGCAAAGGTTCATCGGGAGCGTGGAACCCTACCGGGTGGAGAAGAAGAGGTGTCGCCGCTGCCAACAATTTGGCCACCTAGCCTGGTCATGCAAGGAACGAGTGAAGTGCGGACATTGCGCGGGTCACCACGACCAGCGTCACTGCTTCCCAGGAATAAGACCCAGATGCTCAGACTGCAATGGAGAACACCCAACGGGCGACCGGGCATGTCAGGCATCCCCTAACCCCAGTCCATTCCAATGACGGCAACCCTTCGCATCTTACAGTTGAACATCATGAAATCGAGGGCAGGGATGGAAGCCCTCATCAACGACCATCAAAGCCAAAACCTGGACCTACTTCTGATTCAGGAACCGCCAAAGACAGCATACCACACCCATGTTAACCACAGTGCTTGGCGACTCTACCGACCGACACACCCGGAAATACCGCGGTTCCGCAGCCTCCTCTATGTCAACCGGAGGATCTCCACATCATCACACCGCCAGATCCACTGCAATCACCCAGACGTGGTAGGCATCAAAATCTGGACTTCAGAACTACAGTACCTGGTATTCTCAATCTACATCCCGCCAATAGCGATGCATGAGCCGTTCGAAGCCAGCAGCGCCCAGGAGATACTGGAGGAAATCCAGAAAATTATCCAAGAACATACAGAGCAGAATAGCCGTACGACAAAACTTATCTTAGCAGGCGACTTTAACCGTCACCACCCTGCATGGAGCCATCGCGCGGTCCATCACCGCTTCGCACAACATGCGGAGGAACTGATCAACTTCTTTCAAGCCCACGAGCTACAGTGGTGCCTGGCTAAAGGCGACATAACATACTGGTCCCTTAATCAACCGGGAAAGACATCAGTTCTCGACCTCACGCTTACCAACGATGTAACACGCTTGATCAAATGCCAACTCTACCACGACCACTATGGGTCAGACCACCGAGGAACATATTCGGAATGGAATCTCCAGGCAGAGCAAACTAGAAAGCCCAAACCGAAAAGGGCGTATGACCGAGCTGACTGGGCCCGAGTAGCTCAAGATATACTAAGACAGATCGACCCACCTGTGAATATTCAGTCGGCCCAGGATCTAGACTACGCGGTCAACAACCTAATCCAGACCACAGTAGCTGCCCTAGACCGACATGTGCCGGTGCAGGCCCCGTGCCCATACTCGAAGCGCTGGTTCACTACGGATCTCAAGGCCCAGCAGATTGAGGTTAACCAGATCCGGCGACGGTGGCAAAACAGATGCGCCCTGCTAGGGCCTAACCACCCAATGACGAAGATACTTTTCGAAGAAATGCGGCAGAAAAGACGAGAGTGGACCAGAGCAATTGAGAAAGCAAAAGGTAGACACTGGAAGGAATTTCTTGACAAAGCCGGCGAAGGCCATCTGTGGAAAGCAGCTACTTACACGCGGCCCCGGGATACCTACATGAGCATCCCCACCCTCAGAGTAGGCACTGAAGAGGTGACAGATAACCAAGGGAAAGCAGAGGCATTCCTGCAAGCCTTCTTCCCCATGATGGCTGAACCCGAGCCAGAGGAACTGGTGAACCCCGCGGAGGAGCTACCATGGGAACCGATTACTGAACAAGAGATCTACCGGTCGCTCAGAGTGGCCAAGGGGACTACAGCCCCTGGTAGAGATGGGATCCCCACGCTTGTCTGGAAACACTTGTGGACCTACCTTAAAGATATTATCACCATGATCTTCACGAAATCAGTGGACCTGGGCCATCACCCCAGACAATGGAGGCAGGCGCGGATTGTCGTGCTGCGGAAACCAGGCAAACCCGATTATTCAGCCCCGGGGGCATACCGACCGATCTCACTGCTCAATACCCTAGGGAAGGTCCTGGAGGCAGTCATGGCGCGCAGGCTGTCGTACTGGGCAGAGAAACATGGACTTCTTCCAGATACACAGTATGGAGGCAGGCCAGGACGGAGTACAGAGCAAGCCCTGCTTGTCCTTGCCAATGCGATAGACCGAGCATGGGCACAGTCCAGAATAGTCACACTTATTGCGTTTGACCTGAAAGGCGCGTTCAACGGAGTGTACCAGTCTAGCCTGGACGTTCAACTACGGGCCAAAGGCATTCCGTCAAAGGCCCGACAATGGATCAGCAGCTTCATGGAGGACCGACAAGCTAGTATCACATTCGATGACTTTGAAACAGACGACCTTCCCCTAGGAAATGCAGGCCTGGCCCAAGGATCCCCACTCTCGCCAATCCTCTTTGGATTCTATAATTCAGATCTAGTTAATCAACCGGTCAACAGTAATGGTGGAGCATCAGCCTTCATCGATGACTACTTCCGCTGGCGGATCAGCTCGTCAGCGGAAGAGAATATCAAGAAAATCCAAGAAGAGGACATTCCGCGGATTGAACAATGGGCGCGTCAAACAGGCGCGTCATTTGCCGCTGAAAAAACCGAGCTGATTCACTTGACCCGACGCAAAACGGCACACAGAATCGGACAGATCCGGATGAACGGCCAGGTTATTCAACCAGCCGACACTGCCAAGCTTCTAGGAGTCATCTTTGACAAGGAGCTGCGGTGGAAAGAGCACGTACAGAGAGCAGTTCAACGAGCAAGCAAGGTAAACATAGCCCTGAGTGGGCTACGGCACCTTCGGCCGGAACAGATGCGCCAGCTCTACCAGGCCTGCGTGCTACCAGTGCTGGATTACGCATCCACAGTCTGGCATAAACCACTCCGAGACAAGATCCATCTGAGGCTTCTTGAGACAGTTCAACGGACCGCCCTCATCCGGATCCTGTCGGCCTTCCGGACAGTATCCACGGCAGCTCTCGAAGTCGAAGCCCACATGCTGCCTACCCACCTGCGACTCAAGCAACGGGCACAGATAGTGATAGCCCGCTTCAGCACCTTACCGGAAGACCACCCAGTCCATGATGTCATCAGCCGGGCAAGAGTACGCAGCACCCAGGTCGGCAATAGGGCGCGCTTTCCCCTGGCAGAAACCCTACGAACAATGAACCTCACGCGGCTGCAAGCCCTGGAAAGAATTGACCCCAGACCACTAGCACCTTGGCGAGCCCAATCTTTCACCGATATTGAAATTGAGCCGGATCGGGAGAAAGCACAGACCAATGCTCTAGCAAGAGCGGCCACACCCAACATTACAGTCTTTTCGGATGCCTCGGGCAAAGAGAATCAGCTAGGAGCCGCGGCGGTGGCTCTCGACCACAACCAGCGGATCGTAGGGTCTCGACAAGTCAGCATTGGTTCGATGGAGTTCTGGTCCGTCTACGCAGCTGAGCTAATGGCGATCTACTACGCGATCGGGCTGGTTTTTCAGCTCGCGCAGAAGAACCAGAGATCCAGAGCAACAGACGCAGAACCAGCGACAATCCTTAGTGACAGCATGTCGGCCCTGCAGGTTATCAAAAACTCCTGGAACAAATCAGGCCAGCGTATCATTCAGGCGATTCACCAGTCGGCCGGGGAGCTCAGGGCGCGAGGGATCCCACTGCGACTACAATGGGTTCCGGGTCACTGCGGCAACCCTGGAAACGAAGCAGCAGACCGCCTAGCCAAAGCCACGGTAGGGGGTGAAAAGAGACACCCCTTTAGACATCTTCTGTCACGAGAGAAAAGGTACATCCGCAGGAATATTAGCGACGAATGGCACCAAGAATGGAGGGCCTCTCGAAACGGAGGACATCTCCGCCGCATTGATCGGGCCCTACCGGCCAACCGGACCCGCCGGCTCTACGGCTCGCTCCCCCGAAACCGAGCCTACTTACTCACCCAACTCCGGACCGGCCACTCATGGCTGGCGACACACGGAAAACAGCGCGGGCTCCGAGACGATGAGAAATGTGAATGTGGGGCAACGGAAACCGTGGTCCACGTGTTAATCGATTGCCCGCGGCTTAGTGGGCTACGCCAAGCCCTCCGACGGAAGATTGGAGGGGCATTCAACAATATTTCAGATATGCTGGGAGGAGCAGGACAAGGTAGGGAGGGTAGGTTCCAAGATGGTCCGCAAGACAGTAGCGTCCTCGGGGCGGTCCTGGACTTTGCGGAGGCATCGCAGAGATTCCGAAGTCGCGCGCCACGAGGGCGGCAAAACACAACCCCAGGCACTGGCCACCACAGGCCTTGACGAGGCTCCAAGTTCGTCAGGAAAGTAATAGTCTACGAGGAATGGATGTACATAGAGTGTGGAGATAGTAGTACCCTGCATGTCGCTCAGGCGAGGGGTCAGCGTATGAATCAACAACAACAACAACTACTATACAACGTGTTCTCAAATATCTGTATCATCTTGCCTATCTTCTCATCTCCGGGAGGGAGAACCTGTACCCCGAACACACCGCAAAGTCCAGAAAGACGGTCAATAAACTGTTTTAGCTACGTCAGTGGACCTATAACTAATATCCGCAGGCTGGGAGGACATACCCAGAATAAATTTGGCTTTCCGCTCCAGATTAGTGTTCCCTTCTGTCGCCCCGACGGCGTATCTTGCGTGGTCAGTATGCCGCCGAGCCCCCAGTCATATTCGGATTCGGTATCGAATATGCCAATGAACGCATTCGGGGGGTGGTTTCTGATGTATTCATTCAGCGAATGCTTGCTTGAGTGGCTCAGCTGCGGGCTAAACAATTTTTCTGTGGTCTGCCGACTCAACAGCTTCTCGTCATCAACTAGTAGTGAGAAGAGAATTTCTAAGTAACTCTCCATGTCCCCATAAGCACCTTGGCTACCAAAGCATTCTGTTACCCCTTCAGTTAAGAATCGTCCTGTGAAGTCGGTCACACGTTCTGAGTTGGGTTCCCTAATTGCCATGCGGATTTGGTTATTGCGGATATCTGGCTTAGCTGCTGGCCAGAAGGTAATTCCCTGTATTCCAAGCGGACCCCAGATATTCTCCTGCATATAACTTTCTAGATCCTGACCAGATAGTTTTTCCACTAGCTGACCAACCCAGTCGATACCACAACCATACTCGAAACTCGTCCCTGGCTCGTAAGTCAAAGGGTATCCAAATCTTTCCTTGACCGTCTCGCCAGAGTTAATGTGCCGACCTTGACACGCTGAAAACCTGGCTAGATCCGAGTTCGTCATATCATAGCCTGTCCCGGCAGTGTGCGTCAGGAGGTGTCGAAGAGTAATCGGATTTTGGCGTTCTCTCAGGAGCGGTATGCCTTCCTTGTCCCATCCTGTAAGTATCTTTGACTGCGCTAGATCGGGAAGTAGAGGTCCAACGTCATCATCTAGACTTATAGTTCCTCGTTCAACTAGTTGCAACGCCGCGATGCAAGTCATAAGCTTGGTCATAGACGCAAAGGCCATAACGGATTGGGGCGACAACGGTACGCCCGTGTCATTGCAGGCAGATCTCCCAAATGCCTTAACATATCGCAGAGATCCAGTCTTATTTGTCGCTGCCACTACCACACCGGGAAATACGCCATCTTCGATGGCCTTCTCCAATGAGTCTTCCAGCCTCGCGAACAGGGCCTCGGGATAATTTGCCTCCCCTTTTTCAACCATTTTTTCTTGTGAACTGGAGAAGGAGCTGGTAGGTGGTATAAACTCCCAAGATCTGCATTATATACTATTGCCTATCTACCCGGATTGGGTGCTTGTAACGGATATTGCGGCTAATATCGGGATTGGGAATGATCCAAAGAGATGGAAGTAATTAATCACATCTTGGAGAGCCGTGGGACAGACATTACAAAGTACTATAGTACCCAGGCGGAGGCGGAGGCGGGGTACGGGTGCTGCGGGTGTTGCGGAACGGGAACAGAACCTGTGCTATCCGCTTCTTAGCCCCTACATGCACCAGTGATTCTTCTAGCAGAGAACACAACATGTACCAAATATTTCCAGCGCTTTCTTTACTGAGCATTGGGCCATACAACTGCTTGGACTGGGGCCATTACCCACTTGCGTTGTAATACAATGTATCTTTAGAGCCGTGAGCCTAATGAGTGAGGTTATGATCATGGTATTGGCATTGCATTGTGCTCGAATATGAAAAGAACCATGACAGGTCTGCTCGGTTTCAGTTATTTAGTCCTATATAATTCTAGTCAAAGGCAAAGCAAGTACATACGACCACAGGGTGTGGAAAACAGGGCTTCCCGTCCGCTCAGCCGTACTTAAGCCACACGCCGGGAGGTTAGTAGTTGGGTGGGTGACCACCAGCGAATCCCTTCTGTTGTATGTTTTTCCTTTTGCTTTTTCAATCTTTTGTTGTCTGGACTGCATATGCCCTTGATGATATATTGTCATTATCTGTCTTGAGAAATACTGGAACTGCCTCTGCCAAGGAATCTAGAAGACAACCGACAGACGGGGCTATTTCAGTTTGTGAAACAAATCAAACCGACCGAGACTTGCTATATTGAAACAGTATGTGCAAATGCGCCCGTGCAAGTCTATTATCATGTCCCAAGGACCCAGCTCACTATCTATTTGGACCAGGTTTAGAGTATATTTAATTCGCAGTCTCCTGTCTTCTTCTCAGAAAAGTCCTAGCCTGTCCAGGATAAGTAAGAGTCGATGGGCCTGGGCGATCTCCAGATCGCCTAGTTCATTAGGGTAGAAACGAAGCCCAAAGCGCACCCATATAGCTCCCTCTGTTGACAAAAGTTGTAGCAGTAGGGCGTCACATCCAAGTAGATGAATAGAAAAAACGATAATAATATTTTTCTCTACAACAAGATCATATAAAGCTAAACTAGCTAATCTATCTATGCAATAAAAAACAATATAAGAATTATTTCTTTTATTCTGTTTTGAATATACCAAGTCAGCACGCAACAAATACTATAATTGCGTAATATATATCGGAAGATGACTTTTCGAGGCTGACTAGTAGAATCTATCTATGCTATTCCACTTAGGTATCATTGGCAGGGTTATAAATTTACTTACATCTTTGGGCGTCCGGGAGAGGGGAATATTGGCTTTAACTCAACAAAACGACTTTCATTTACAAATCTGTATCACGTTCGTCGATAGGCACTATACGTGCTTCATCCCGTAAGAGCGTTTCGTCATAATATGCAAAGAAAGTGTAACTTACAGGACATTGTTATTAACTTCGTGGGCTACATATATTCATGTTAAGGTTTTTATGAATACGGGTACGACGTGGCGCCGCCGCTGATACCGTCATGCTGTAAACTCTTCTTATTGGATTATTTGTTCGGCGCTGAAACCGAATGCTGGAGTGGCCAGCAAATATATCTGGAGTAATGGCAATTTCTGGGCGACAGTTTATCTTGAAAATTATGCCCTGCAGTAGCATTCCCCTTTGCACTTATGAGCCACCTGTTGTCAGGTGACATTGAATTGCAACTACCACATACCTATTTTGCCAGCATGGAATGGCCTTGTCCAGGCTCCATAAGTGTTTATTCAGTACTTGGATTGACGATAGGCGCGTCTGGGATTCTTTACTACTACGTTAGACGCGCGTTTAAGCGCCATGGACAGCTTCTTCAACGAGGTATAAGAACAATAGTGGACTGCGAGCCTCCCAACCGCAGACTAGAGTATATCTTTCATACGCTCCAATTTCTTAATGTTACACTGACTGTCCACAGCGTCGTCGCAGTACATGGGTTAGGCGCGCACCCTGAATTTACTTGGACGACGAGAGGCCCAAACCAGTCTCGCGTAAACTGGCTAACGGACCTTTTCCCACGAGATTTCGGCAAAGCACGGGTCATGACATTTGGCCATAACTCTGATTGGTTTGTCCGGGCGAGCAACAACACGCCGTTTGAAAATGCCAAGATGCTTTTACGAGCAGTAAACGAGGCAAGGCGTGAACACCACAAGGTCAGTCATCAGATAATTGAGATAACTTTAGGAAACACAGAAGTAACCTCCTTGGCTTATACCGCAGTGTGGCATCATTTTCATCGGGCATAGCTTTGGTGGCATTATAATCAAAGAGGTCAGCGCACCATGACCAGTCTAAAGCGATCTGACTTATCTAATTTGTAAAGGCAATATGCTTGGCGAAAACGGACAGACAGTATAGGGACATATTGGATGATACAATCGGTATAATTTTTCTTGGAACGCCTCATCAAGGGTCCGATATTCCCCAGTTTGGAGCCATGATAGCACGACTGACATGGGTATTTGGATCGAGCACAATGCTACTGAAGGGTCTCTACAGGGATAATCCTCATCTATCAGACTTACAAGAACGGTTCATGAGCGTTATTCGGAGAAGAAGAGATATTAAGCTCGTCGCGATGTATGAGAGGCTCCATACGTACTTTGCTCAACTTATATATCTAGGCTTCGTAAGTACAGACCACTGCATGCTCTGCATACCAGAAATACTTACAAAGAATGAAAAAGATTGTCGAGAGGAATGCTGCAATGCTTGATGTGGCCGAAAACTTTGCAGTCGAGAAAGATCATATGGGGCTGAACAAGTGCGCCTCACGAAATGATCCGGCATATGACGCAATTTGTCAAGGCATCAATGCAATACGGAACCATGCAGAGAGCAGAGGGCTGAAGAGAAAATACTTAGAATGGTCGGAGAGGTAAAGGCTCTAGTTTGCAAGTTGTGAAGGACCAGCTATACGTGAAACCGAACCTATGTTTAAAATCAACAAAAATAAATAAAAATAAATGAAAGCTTAGTAATTCTTACTGACCTTATATATACTATATCGAATAATATGCCAGAGCCAAAATCCATAGTTTGGGTGATTACCATAACCATCTGACACTTTTCCTAGTAGATTGTGGGTCATAGTCTCACAGGTCTTGCGCATTACACATCATGTGTCCTTTGCTTGTTCCCCAAGATAAGCTTATTTATAATGAGCGACACGCTTCCTAGTACAGCAGATCCCAGGGTCACGGCCCTTTTTGTCATACAGTCACAATCTCTGCCAAGCTGCTGAGGCCAATGAGGCATTTGGCTGTGTTCTTTTGTCAACATTATAACTTTGCATTATAGTCATTAGGAGATTAGGAGCCGCCCCAGCTTTCCAAATAATGAGAGAACACGATCAAGTTATCAACTGTGTGAGCTCAGTAGCTTGTAGTGCGCGAATCGCTCTTGTTTGAATTGAAATGTCGCCAGAAGATTATTGATGAATTGGACGAACCCAAGAAAACCAACTAGCAGAAGTATAATGAGCGGGCCAATGATTGAAAAGACGGTAAAACCATACGAAGCATTTTGAAATGCACCATTGCCCTGCAGCTTGGTAGCCAGCCCAACCTGCATTGCCGTCAACACTAATGCGACATAAACAATTGTTGCAGTAAGGGGTGTTAGATAATCATAGAATAACTCAGTATATGTTTGATATGTGAAGTGATAACCTCGTAGGATACTGCCATAACGAAACATGTAGATTTTGTTGAGTCGTGAAAGCCTAAGTTCGCCGAACAAGTAACGTGCATTGATATTTTTAGGGTTAGTAGCTCCGTTCTCCAAGAGCTCCTTGACCAATTTAACCCACATTTCCCATGTGACGTTGTGTGGTAATAGGTGTTGGTCCTGGGCGATAGCAAAATCACTCTCTCGCTCAATTAAAGCGATATAAGAATATAAGAATCCTAGACCACATTCGTATAGATGTTTTTGTTGACAAACCCCGTCCCCTCTATCTGTCTCATAGTACATATAGTTGGACATGCAGGGACAGGGTTCTTTGCAGATCAGGTAAGATTTCCAAAATTGATGGCTTAGGAGGTATCGCGGGAGGGGCTTCAAATGGATACGCCGTGAAGGTTCCCAGACCATGTGCATGTCGATCCTCTCATCTGGCACAATTTGCCGGGAAGTTGCGGTTTGATAGTTTAGGGGCCTGGGTGGCATGGGTCGGCCAGCCAACCACAGGTATTTCTGAACCCGATTAAGACATTCGACAGAGAGATCGTTCTGTAAAAAGCGGGAAGTATCCGTAGTAGGAATGTAGGGGGTATAGTACTCGTCGCGAATGGAAGCAGGAGTGCAGAAAGTACTTGAAATGGAGACGTCAACACTGAATGGTGGCTTTGTGGGCATGCTTATACAAGAGACGGTATTGAACCGAGTTGATATTAGGTCATAAGTTAATAGGTTGGATGGTGAAAAAACCACAGCTAAGAACAGGCCTAGATAGATATGTTGTTTAGCTACCTTGAAAAGCCAAAAATTGAGGGTCGATCTGTTTTTCACTTGGACAGAGCCACTCCGAGGAGCACCATCACCCGGGTTGGCTAGAATCTTCGAGACCGGCCGAGAGTCCGGCGTTGGCAGGGTTAATGCACTAGATACTAAGGTTTCGAGTGGACCGGGGGAACGATCGGCGACCCAAGGTTTACGTAGGTCTTCTGCTCTTACCATGTATATTTTTTTTGAATCCATTATTGATTAATCTATAATTATTACTCCGTTTTTTCTTTAAAATATCGAATCTTTCTAATGTATAAATAGTTTAAAATAGTTAAAGTAACTGTTGGATCTTATTAAATGCGGGAGTATTATCCGCAAGGCTGTGTGAGATCATCTATAAATTTGGTACGTGTCAGACCCCGCTTTCTGAATGATAATAATCTATGCTTTTACTTGCATATCAAGAGTCTCTGAGAACATCGAGAAAAAATAGTTGAAAAAGCCAATGATGTGTATGTCATTGACTGCTGCCTTCAAAAATGTAGGCCAGGGAGCTTCGTTCATAAGTAGAGAAAGATATAATCAGTGTCCTAGTGCTCAAACCTTCCATCTGAGACGTTGATACTGAAATACTGCTTGAGTAGGGAACTAATATTGGCTTTAGCAGCGTTTGTTGCAGTAGCGGTGGGCTGCAGAAGCAGGGAAATATCATCATCGGGGGGCAGGTAGGCAAGGAACAAATGTCCAGGTCATGATAGTTGATCAGGACCTTGTTGACAACCCAACCAGCAGCTTCATAGCCTCGAATGCCGCAGTCCAGCGCACAGTCCTCAAGTACCGGGCGACTTCAACAGTAAGACCATGCGTACAGCACTTTCCCAGAGTGCGGCGAATATGCGTCGGAGATACGGACCCCATTAGCGAGACCATGTGGTTCATCAGCATTCTAGACTGCGCCTGGTGCATCTCTCTCTCATCTGGATGTCTACATATCTCACGGGAATCCGATATCCCGCTACCGAAGTGATGAAATGCCCAGCATGTCAGCGTCCCTATCAGCAAACACCATGGGTAGTGGAATACACCGTTCACATCCCAATTTTTCAAATTGAGAATTCCCTCACGAATCATCTGCGCCGCATGCCATGCTGCCTGATCTGCGGCGGTCGCATCTGTGCAGACCCAATCCCTAACCCAGTTTTCACTCATCTGGCGATCTTCTGGCATCACCATATGTCCAAAGATAGCTTTAGCACCGGCAGCAGCCTGCAGGTGACGAATTTCGCAGTTGATTACGATATGTGCGGTATGGTACAGTGCCAGAATGGCAACACTTTCTTGCCTGTGATTACTTCCTGGGGCCCAGCCGTCGCCCATGCTCTGAAACAAGCTCATGGTGTAAGCGTCGTAGTGTGCCTTCCACGTCTCCAGGGCATGGGCCATCCTCCGTCGCCATGGTCTCCATGGCTCCCCGCCGGGGTCTATGTCGCTCAGATAGATAGACCTGTTATCGAAATGCGCAATATCGTTACACATTGACATGATCCCATGCAGAACCAGCGTGAGCGATAACCTGTCCATCGGCAGGCTTTGAAATTTATCTCCATCTTGAACCAGGTGTTTGATCATATTGTTAAAGCATGCTGGCTCCATGTGGAATTTCCGGATTTGTTCCCAGGCTGCCTCGCTGGGCGCTTCCCACAAATCTTGGGAACATGGAAGCGGGACTTGGATATTATGCGTGGACATGTTGGGCATCGCGGAGTAGCAGGATACGTTTTGCGTATCCCACATGAAGACGAAGAGGATTAATCTGATCGATAGTTGTTAGGTAAGGGAAGAAAGAAAGAACAATAATGGGAAGGGAAAGAAAGCTGGCTATTAGAAGATGAACGGTTCAGTTTAGATACCTTTTATATTGCTCGGCGTAGGCGAAGTCCTTCCAGCCCAGTTCGGGTTGGACTAGATGACTAGGGAGCATAATCCCCCCACGGACGTGGTATCGGGATACCCGCCGAATGGCCTAAGTTTACACATGAGCATATGTTATCTTTTGATTACCGGGTGCATACTTACACCAAACAAAAGGGTGTGAATCAACATAGCATTTTCGCGCTGATACGGGCCAGCTCGATACATGCCATAGCATTCAAGAATGAGAAAAGACTGAAGTATCGGTAAATCGGGGATCGGAACGCTCATCAGTCCGCTAAGGATATACGGCACAAGGGCATCGTATAGGTACACGGACAGTTGGTGTGTGTCTTTGTTTTTGTAAGTCTGTCCTAGTATAATTATGGAGAGTAAAAAGATAGGGTCTCCTCCTTCTATGTCCAGCGTCGCCACATGCACCATCGGGTAGGATGAGTTGAAAAAGCGGAAGAAAAGACTGATATATTCATGCATGTTATCCATCGACAATAGCGCTGTATTGCCATCAATGATGATGCCTTCTGGTGTTACTGGCCGTATTTCAGATAGTAGCCTGAGAATATCGTCTCGTTTGGAAATGGAAAGGGCGATTCTGCCACTCGGATGGAGACTGGCACCTTGTGCCTCCTCATTCTCCGAAGTCTGTAAGTCCACAACGTGTATCAGGGGTTGGAGACACTGTTATAGAGTGGTCAGCATCCACAGCACGTTTTGCCCACATCACAATAAAGGGCAACCTAGGGCAGCAGAAAAGTCTGCTTCCTAGACGTAGAGAAATCCTTACCAACGGATCGTATGGATGTGGGGCGATATTCGTGGTATGCTGCACACCGCATGCTGACTCAGTATCCTGTCTTGGGATGGCCATTTCTGAACGACTGGACTGGATTTCTGCCCAGTTCAGGCTAAACGGCCTGTCAGGGGCAGGGGACGGTTGCTGTATCTCCTGTTGATAATTCTGATCCTCTACTTCCAAATGGGGTAGAGTCTGACCCGTGGCTGGAGGGGAGCAAGCCAAGCCCATTACATCAAAATGCACCGAATCAAAGGAAGTATCGTAGTACATATTGGTCAGTTCATCCAGGTTCATGGAGGGACTCGTTACATCTGCCACATGCGCTGCATCCAGTACTGAATGTGAGCTACGGGGACTGCGTTCGGATGGTTGCTGACCCGCAGATACATCGTCACCAGTGTCGCCATGTTGATTCTGGGTATCGATGTGACAAGAGGAAGGAGGATATGCCGGTTTTATGGAAGGCTTACCCTTGTCTGTATCCTGCACCAGGCGCGAAGGCAAAGGGGAGTGTGAATCCTCGGCCGTATGGAAGCCAGATATAGTTTTCCGGCGTGTCTGGAGGATGCCTAGTCCTGCACCACCGGCCAGACCATCCTTCATCGTATGGCGGGCTTTGTGTCGTTCTATAGGAAGAGTTAGAACATGTCGCCAAAAAAGGCTGTTGATGCCTACCCAGCAGGTCTAGTCTCTTGAACGAGGCAT